AGCGACACCCATCTCCCTTTACCGCCAGTTATTAGTGCCCTTCACAGTGCCATTAAGTAGTATTTTTTAGGTATCCCTGGAAAGATTAGGCTGGAATGGGGATAAAACAGTAAAGAAGGATAGGCAGAATGCAAAAATTGACAAACTTAGAAAGTAGAGACTGACTGAGTGATACTTGAAGTATAAGGACTTCAACCCAGTATGGGGGCGTCATTAGTGAGTGCTAATGAAATATCTGTCTAGTAGTGCTTCTCAGTCCTCAATAATGTCTGATGTTTTTGGCGACGAAATATGCACTGAAACTAGTCTAAATCCCCTTTGAAACCAGCAATCGAAAGCGTTAGTTTGAATGAAATTAAAGTGTGAAGTTGGCATATTCAGATCTAGAATTGACGTGTTCCAAAAAAACTGCATTTAATGCATTTGACAGTAAATTGTTGACTTTTAAGTCTTTTGAGAAGCCCTCGACTCATCTGTTTTCAGTATATTGGAATAATTGCATCCGATTCTTAGTTGCAATGGTATGTTTTGGGTGACAGCACTGATAATAAAAGATATTATTACAGAGGCCATGTTAACGTCATGCGGAGTAACCTCAGTAGCCAGCATTTTAATGTTTTATACATAACGCGTCGGTGTCCATTATTTGTTATAAGGTAAACGACTATTTCGTTATCAAATTCCTTTGAAACATCACTTTTACCATATTCTGCCAATATGTTAAACTTGTGTGCTTCATCGTTCGTATTGCAGATATGCTATGTTCCTAAAGCGTTGGTCGCACAATAGTAGATCACCCGCCAACCACGCAGGTGATCCGAGGCTCAATTCCCGGCTGACGCATTCCTTTACCTCGCTGAACTAGTAATAAGACGGTAAAAACGGAAGATTGGGCATGACTCTAGTAAACCCATCCGTGAAAATAAATACTCCTGCTACCGAAACTTGAAAGCTCTGGCTTCAGATCCTATGTTCCATTGGGAACGTTGAAAAATCAAATAATAATACAGTACCTACTCTTGAAATTGCGTTGTGTGAAAGGCAGCAGAGTATCCTAAAGTGCAGTTGGCAGACACTTTTCCTAGGCTACTCACAAAAACTTTGCCATACTGTGAGGAGTATTAACGGTTGTCAGTAGGATAAGTGGTATGTCATTAAGTCAGTGCCTTACTACTGTAGTCCACAGACACCTGAACTTATTCGAGAAATGGTCAAAATCCATATTTTATGACTCTCAACACCCTTCCTACGCTCAACTCTCCCTTTGATGTTTCTCATCAGGTAGGACTAGAAGTTATCATGAGAGATTATATGCTTTCACAACCAAGTACAAAAGATCAATGATACTATATTTGGTTTACATTCTATGTGATGGGGATATAGTTAAGCGTGAATCATTATTATAATGTAGATAGCAAAATAAACGGTTCTTTCATCTTCTCCTACTTGTAATTTATTATGATATTATTTGAATTATCTGATAATTTCAATTATTAATATTATAAGCATTATTGCCGTTTCATACCTTTTACATATTTTTGATTTTCTTGTCACTGCTAATATCAGAAAGGTTGCTGTTATCACTTTCACTTACCTATATCCTGTAATGTTATTTTATTGTTGTTGTTATTGAGTAAATTAGATCCAATACTAAAGCCAATCGTTAGAATTCCATGCTGTATCATAAGTACTCTGTTGAAATAAATCAAACTTGCTATAGGACAGAATTTCCTAGAGTTCTAGTTAGAAAACGTGACCAGCAAGGTTCATCCACTCGACAGTGGGGATGGATTTCCTTTAATGACACCGGTTGGTGGTCACGCTAAAATCACGAACTGGTAGAAGTTAACATTCATGGGCCGTTGAATCGTGTCACAGTGGCTGAATGATATACCAGCTTGCCTTGTAACCGGAGATCCTGGGTTTGAACCCAGTCGGTGGGTGCATACTGCCGTGGATTCTCAAACTAGGATGAAACAGCAGCTGTCCAGTACTCTAGTGCTGGTTTACAATGGTTCTCTAACTCATATCAATCCATGATCAACTTGTAAAAACAATTTTCTATAGTTTGGTTTGTAAGGATTAGTTATGTTTTACGGGTTGATCACGGATTGATATCAGTTAGAGAACCATTGAAAACCAGCACTAGAGTACTGGACAGCTGTTTCATCCTAGTTTGAGAATCCACGGCAGAACGCACCCACTGAGATTCGAACCCGGGACCTTCCGGTTACAAGGCAAGCTCGTATACCATTCAGCCACTGGGACCCGATTCAATGGCTCGTGAATTCTAACTTCTACTAATTCGTGATTTAGCGCGACAAACAAACCTATTCCTCATGAAACAACTGTTGAAAATTATTATTAGTATTATTGACAGGGGACACACAGTGGATTTAAGTCAAGCTTTCAAAATATTCAATATACGAAGAAAATCCTAGTTACTTCGTTTCCGAAAAGTCATTACTGTCAGAAGATTTTGACGCAATCTCGGTATACAGAAAGATAGCGTATTTAATGCCCGACCACACTGGTAGCTTTAATCGTCTTGTTCGTGTGCTTTTATCGTCGGTTAGGTTGCGGAACATTCCCTATCGTTTTGATATTCTTTTACTGAGTTGAACTCACTCTCAGTTTCCTAAATTTATTGAATTGCTTGTCTCTGTTAAAATTTTCTTTTCTGGTTTTGAACCCCGCCCTCTTGAAATCTCCATTATATTATTAACTACGTAATTCAGTCTTGTATTCTGTAACTAGTCAGTGCTTATTCCTAAACAGAACCTGGACTCTGCCCAATCCACTCTTGTCTAGTCTTCTGTGAATAACAAACGTTCCAGCATTAAGTGATTTCATCCTGTTTTGAGGCTTATTGGCAGTACGCACCAGTCGTCAGGGTCTTAACCCGAGACCTCTCAGTTACAAGTCAAACTCAAACACCAATCAGTTTCTGGGAACCAACTCACTGCCAATCCAGCCATGAATTGTAACTTCTGTTAATTCGAGATTGGATGGCACTAGCTATTCTGATCCATGGTGAGTAATTATCCTCACTGCCAACAGCTGGACGCCATCGGTCACGACTTTTCACTAGAACTCCAAGCAACTTCATCCTTTAGTCAGTCACTAGCGAGCATCATAACTGATGATGAGTCCAGCTATATAAAAGGCATCTAAATAAGTGGAAGTTCAACCTAACCATTACACCTTTGACAAACGAGTGCTCTAGTGACCTTAAATGGAACGATCGCATTCAAAATGCGAATCGCAACGAGGAAAATAGAAATAGCGGTGAGTGATGGTAGTGAATGATTTTCACATATTTTCCGAGAATTGTTTTAAATTAAACCTTCATCAGGAATCCCAAAACCTAAATTAAAGTTACTTGTGTTGTCCATCCTACGCCTAATGTATTACCAAACTAACTCTCACCTACTTTCAGAAAACCTTTGGGTGTGGGAGTTTACCGCCTTCCAGATGAAGACACTTCCAGATCCTGAACCTAATCGACAGTTATTCAGATGGATATCAATATTACTATAAGGAATTAGAAGGGTCGTTACACAACATATCAGATAACTATATCCAGCTTGGTGTTTTCACACTTAATTGAAGCTTTAAATATTTCACGAAAAATCCCCGTTTGAACACTAGTGAAAGAAAGACAATTAGCTCAACGGAGAGGTTCTTTTAAGGAAATTTATTTGCTTTATATTCATTTGGAACAACCGACTGACAACTTTCTACAGCTGGTAACCAGTTAGTCATAAACATAACGTTATTATGTCCCTTGTTACTCGAATCCGAAATATCTGTAGCCCTGATGTTCTGGAAGAAGCATTACACTTTTTGAAAGGAGTCTTCATGCTAAACAGACATCCACCTAAATTTATTGACAGAAACATGGATCCGAAAACTCAAACATAAGAGACATCATCCATACCAAAGATGGGACTTTACCTGAATGTCGACCTACTCAGTGATATCCTAAAGAGGCGAATTTCATCTTTCTTCGTAGAAACGCCAGGAGCAGCATTCTTCAGTCCTACGTTGGTCTACAGAACTCTAAAGGAAAAGATCTCGCACCTGGCCACCTCTATGTGTATATCAGTTCAACTGCTGCCAGAGAGCCAGGTGTATTTGTCATTTGATGTGTATTTCGTCCAAAAGGGTCCAATAATCTTATACCACATGATTGAGTAAAGGTAGTAGTGGCTCAGTAAGTAGTGCCTTAATCGAACACTTTGTCAACGCTGGTTATTCCACCTCAGCAGACTCCTCCTTTAAAGTAATCGACAAAATTAAGAATAGCCTGCCAAATGTAATAACTCTCATATTTCTTTAGAACTCTTACATAATTCCATATTATGGGAACAAACTAACCAAGAGCCAATCACCGAATAGATATGTAGGGGAAAATGGAGACGTATTGGGCATACACTGAAGATACAGCCGAATGGTATCTCGATAGAGATCATCACTCGAATGGAATCCGGATGAGAAACGACGAACAGGTTATCCCAGAGTGACATGGAGGTGATCGTAGGAGGAAGATATGACAGATTATGGGCAATCATGGCGTCAGCTAAAGAGTTACGCAAGGAACGTAACAAAGTCAAGATGTACAGTCGAAGCCCTGTATTGCACCAGGAACTCGAGGGATCAATAACAATAATATTTTCCTTCGTTTCTATGTGGATCCTTATTACAACTCATTCATTGCATTATTTATCTTATTACTTAATTGTAATACACTTATTCAACTCGTCTTCTGAATTGACTAATATGAAGTTTTGACAACTGGTTATTTTTGTTACTACCGTATTTGACGAAAAAGAAATTGTATTACAGTGCACTTGTACAGCTAGAGAAAAGCCTATTCGCTGGAGTACTCGTCTTGTCTTCGAATACTTGTCATACAAACAACGTTTATATAAATGATCCTATGCATTGAATATACACTGATATTGGACAGTTAAACAAATAACAATACAACAACTTACCATATAAGTAAGGTAAGAAATTTTCGGTAGACTTTGTGTGATTACATATTTAAAGGTGACACTGGTTAAAATAAGTGTAAAGGATAAGCGTAGTCGAAGTTCTGCTTTATCCGGTGAAACAGCAAATGTAGCAAAAGCCAAACCAGAAATCATGAACTAGACAGAAAAGAGAAAATGGCAAATTAAACGTAGAAAATAATATGTTCCTCAGTGTAGTGATGAGAACAGATTGCCCTCCTCTATATGTTTGTATTTTGTCATTAAGTTTCATTCTAAGATCACATGATGAAAAATATCGACGTCAAGACATAGAAAGTTAGATAAACACCTGGGAAACATAATGAATATCTTTCCCCAGTGACAATACTTTTACGTGGAGAGAGATCTACTTATAACGCGAAGATCCTGGGTACTATTCCTACATGATTCATTGCAGCCAAACAAAATAACTGCCTTCCTCGTTTCTAGATGCTCAACAGTTATCAGTTATTATGTGCCGTTTCAGTATATGAAGAACACATGTACCGAATATTGTTAAACTCCAAGTTACTTATAAATGTCGAAGGTTCAAACAAAGAATTAGGTTGGTTTGCTAGGAATTGATTGGTTACAGGTTTAGTTAAATGGGTCCATTAAGTGAGGTAAGAGAATACTTACTCGCTTAATGACATCAAGTAGCGGTTGAAACACATTTTTCGCGAATTGGCGAAATTTGGAATTCATGAGCTAGTCATTGGATTGGGTTCCAGTGGCTGATTGACACATGAGCTCATCCCGAAGCAGAAAAGTTTGAGCTCTAGTGGATACGCACTGCTAAAGAGTCCCAAACTTGGAAGAAACTTCTGCCTAGTATTCTAGTGCTGGATTTCCTGTGCTTCTGGAACTGATGACATTTCGTTATCAAACTTTTAATAGTTAGATATAACGAGGTTTTGGGACGAATTCGTCAGCGGAGCATTTCATGGCACACTGCTCACCCAACTAATGGATTAAACTTATAAAAATATCCAATTAGCTCTCTTGGGAATTTACAGGACCTACTTGTTGTTACTCATCTAACTAAACTTTATACAGCTAAGGTTTAAAACGTTATATTAGCCACAGTTTCTCCCGTGTGTCTATCACAGGATTTACTTTTTTCACTAGGTAGTGTGCGTCGGTGGCACAGTGGTTAGGAAACTCGCCGACTATGTACATGGTCCAGGGTTCGAAATCTTGCCGACGCACACCTGATATTTATGGTTGGCCTGTAATTTGGGCTACCGATATCATATGCTGAAAATCCCATGCCTGTACCAAAATTACGGCGTGGAATCAAGCTGTAATCAAAAATAAAGAAATAAAAGGTAAAATGATTAACGACATCAGTCAATTCCACTGGCTGTTCCTAAACATCCGTGTAGTAAGTTGTGTAACGGAGGAATTATTCGGGAAATCCCTCTTAAAATAAGCATGTGGATGACTCGACTTACTCTGCAATTATTATCCGTTTTCTCCTACACTGATAGTCATTCTTCTGATATTTACGTATCATATTTTGACTTGGTCCTCATTATTTATGTTTTTTTCCGTTCAATCTCTAATTTTAATGCTTCTCTTCGTATATATGTGATGATATTGATAATGTGTTGTTAAACGATGTAATTTTCTCGATTGAATCAAGCTCACTCTGACTATGGATTGCCTGTGAGAATTTTTGGTGTGGATTCTTGTGGACAAAGTTTTTCATCCTACCTCGTTGGGAATAGTCTAGTTCATTTCAAAGGCTTGTGTTGTACTTAGAAAATCAATCAGTCTGTATAACTGCCTAATGATACTGCTGAATTAATTATGAGTCCTTCTTGTTATTATGGTTGCTGAATAGAACATCATATGAATTCCAGTCGCAAATAAACGTTTCTTTTCTGTTTTTGAAGCATTTTATGACTGCACGTTTCTCAATGAACTTCCAGGCAACTATATTTTATTTTTTTTTTATTTTTTATTTACAGCTTGATTCCACACTGTATTTTCGGTACAAGTATGGAATTTTCAGCATGGATATCGGTAGCCCAAATTTCGCAGGCCGACCATAGATATCAGGTGTGCGTCGATGCGGGCTCGAACCCCGGACCATGTGCATGGTCGGCGAGAGTCCTAACCACTGTGCCACCGACGCACAGGACGCAGGGATTGATTCGCTTACCATCAAATCAAAACGCAAAAATTCTTGTCACAACAGTGATCACCTATCTTGTCTTCCCTATCGTCATTAGCTAAGTTAGTGAAAGAGACGACTTCATTTAGCCTCCTGTGTTTGATAGCGATCGGTGTTTGCTTTCTCTTGCTTTATTATCTTCGTTACCTGTATTTTCTCTGCGTGCAGCTTACGCGCTATCACTACTGACTTAGCGGTTGCATATTCTTCAACTTCAGAGGGAAAAACAACCTTCGGAGTGGGCGCTCAAACTGAATCCTATAAATAATAATAATAGGTCATAGTATTCTCTGGAGTAACCGAAAAGTAACAAAAGCCCCGAAAAATGTGAACAATAATACAAAAGATTTGTATTTTCAGATGAATGAAAAACAAATCAACATTGCTGTTATGACTGACGATTCGCTATTGAATGCTGCTAATAGCTTTATCAAAGTTTTAATAAACCAGAATTTACAAAATCCTAGTTTACATATAGCAACTTTATTATCATTCTTCCGAATGAGGTAATTTCTACATTGTCAAGTTGGCCATTTTATGAAATTGCTTATCAAATATGAGTTTATTTTATCACCTCATATGAGGAGCGGAATTTTGCAACCAGGTCAAATTCTATCTTATTCCATTATTCCTATTTAGAAAATTTTGATTCCATTGGATATGGATGACTTCTAATGTTAGACGTTCTTTGTGATCTCTGAAATTTCTCTGGATGATGATTTCAATACTGTCAGAGTCAATTTTCTGACCTTATTCTAAAGCGTAACATGTAGACCTATGGCTGATGATTTTTCATGCTTTTCTAGTTCAACTGGATTTCTTAGTGGTCGAATAGAGGCGTCTCTATGGTATCCATTTCTCCTGATATTTATTTCTCACGATGCTTGACCAATGTATACCGCATCACATTCCAAATATTTTATTTTATAGACACACTTAGGTTTCGAATCCTTCGGAATTCGGTCTTTTATAAAAACGAGGCTGTTTTGCAGTATGTCTGATTTTCCAAGGAAACTCTGATGTTGTGTTTATTGAGTACGCTTCTGATGACTTATTCTGACGTTTCGGATTTACACGGAATGACAGCTGTTGAAGTGTGTGTTTTCCAAATATGTTCTCGACCGTATTCAATGTCAGTGTTGATTTTGTTGATGAAGTCGCTTCATGATGATAAGCGATAACTAAGTTTGCTGCATATATAAACCGAGGTCTTTTAAATTCTGGTTTAGTAATACTTTGATACTATCAGCAGCCTTTAATAGCGAATTGGTTTGCTTTACATTCACCGAGAAATACAAAAACCTTCATAATATAATGAATAATGAATGCCCAAAGTTTTTCAAACTTTCAACAACAACTTAGTTTGGACAGATATAATGTAGACAATAGCTTGCTGATATCTTGTTAGGTTTGAAAATCGTGGTTGAAACTCTGTTAAATTAAATGAAACTTCTGGTCAACGATAAAATCCAATGAACTGGCTTTTAAACACACTGCTCGGTTAAGAACAGTCAACCAATTCAAACTGTTCTGAGTAATTTAATGAAGAGAAATTCATCTTTTCTAACAAAATCGATATTCTTACCATTATAAGAAAAACATTCCAATAGAAGTAACCAGGTCTTCTAGCAGCTCTACAGGTAACAGATAAGCATGGATGACTTTTCATTGAACTAGAATATTCCTGTTTGATTATACGTTTTTTAATCTCGACATGTTCATGCAATTTCCATTCCTAAAATACATTTCAATAAAAATGATAATATGATATTGTGAAATTATTTGAGTAATAATAAATGTCACTATAATATTACTATTATGCCACTCGACCGATAGCTGCCACCTTAACGTGGTGGTCGGGCTTGCATATCACGATGACCCAACAAGCTGCACTGGCTAGAACCAATGTTCCTGCAGGTCCTACCATGCCAGGAAGGTTGTCAGGATAGCGTTTAAACTAAAAGCAGTTACCGACATTGTGCAAGAATCTTTCTTACACTATGCTGGGGGTCTAAGTGTGAAGTTGTACTCCTGGGAACAGCAGTGAGATGTTTCCCTCAGATGACCAGCATGCCAGCTATGCTTTCTCTCCACTCCTGAGAGATGGGCTAAGAAAAGGTCCTTAACCGGCGGTAAGTTTACTAATACGGAACCAATCCCAGAAACCAGTTCATACAGGCCGTGTGTGACTGGCCAGCATAAAGCAGTTGTCCCCTGGACTCTGTGGTCACGCAACACTTTCTGTTTCACGTACCCGAAGAATCAATCAACTCCCACAGTGTGGGCAGCTGAAAAGTAACAACCGCCCACACACTTCCAGAAGCACACGAAGCCTTCCTGACCATCATTTCCCTTTACTCACATCACCTTCCTCATCTTGCTTCTCTACTACAGTTAGTAATATTCTGCAGGCTAGTGAGTCATCTTTACTTCACTCTGTGACTATAAACAACGGTGAGAGTCATAGAAACACCTCAAATAGTCTTTTAAAACCACGTCGCCAACTTCATATAGGAGCATTTAATGTCAGGACCCTCTGCCAAATTGGACAACAGGCATCACTAGCTATAACTCTGGCATTTCGAGCCATGGAGTATGCTGTGTTTCGGAGACACGCATACAAGGCCCGAGTCTGTTCATTCATTTAACCTCACCCGGTCAACAAGGTGAATCTACGAAATTCACTTTAAGGGTGTCAGGAGACCCCTCAGCTAGCCCGCGGGGACTCGCAGGTGCAGGGATAGCACTGATTGCTAGGGTGGAAAAATCACTTCTTGTCACTCCATGTTACCCTCAGACACATGTCAAGCTCTGCGCTTTTTATTCGGGTTCAACTCGAGTGACGGCCTAAAGTGTGATGTCACTCACAAAGTCTACTCAGCGTATGTTCGGTTCATGTCCATTACTTTGGAATATTTATTTAGCAATACGTTAATTTTGTCAGAGTTGCTCGTTGTTAGGCCTTTGTCGTTAGCCATTGGATCTTCAGTATCGAGTAAGCAAAAGCACCAGTAGATATAAATCTGAAGTAGCCTGTTGGGTATGCCTTTCGTGATGCGTTGGCCAAGGTTTTGACCCATATAGAAGACGTAAGTGACTCAACATTTGTGTTGAATATCCTAATTTTGTTCTCTCTTTCAAATCTTAGCTATATATAGCTGCATAGTTTTCATTCCGACTCCCTGTTCTCTTCCCTAAACTGGTTGACCGAAATGGTTTCGACTTCTCACTAAAACACCACGAAACTTCCTATACAGAGTCAGTCGACAGTGATCAAATGTTGGTTTTCAGGGATTTGACTGGCGACAGGTTTTGATCACAATCTGAATTGCCTATATGTTGGCCATGTAAATGGGAGGTTACGGCATCAAACTCTTATGAAATTGGATTTCTAACGATTCCTAAAGTAGTGTGAAACAGCTGTCAAATACTTCTCGATTCTCAAACGGTTTTATGCTCAAAAATTCTGAAGATTGCTAAGTTACGAATCTGTTACCTTTTTACACCAAATACACCAAAAGAATAACTACAGCGGGACAAAACATGTTGTTCAGAATGATGCTCTTCGTTTGACAGACTGTAATCGCTGTCATAAAGTTTAACTGCCTCAATTTTTTCCTACTTTTGGTTATAGATACTTAGACAACTTTGAATAAATCCACTTTTAAAAGTGTTAAATGGAATACCATTTCAATTTGTTTATTATATATATATATATCACAGTCAGTGAAACATTTACTGAATAACAAGGTTTTGAACACAAATTATCGCTATTCATAATCACATCATCAATGATTACTACACAAATCCGAAACTTTCGTTTCACAGTTTTCCTTAATCCTTCTATCGTCATCGTATGGGCAGTGGAGTTTTCTAGAAGTCTGGGTAGACATGTGTTGAATCCTTCTTATTGCACATGTTTTCAGTTGATTCGATAAACAAAGCTTCCGTTATCAATCCCTTCATCCACCCTGTTATAGCGAATTTTAAAAGCGTCATCCAGAAACTCGGATGGCTTACGTAGAATTCTTAACAATATAGGCGAGAATAAAAGTGGCAATCAACACAACCCCCACACACTCACTTTGAAACAAACTTTTTCGGTGAAAGGGTCGATCCTGTGAAGCCAATTCAACATAGCAATTTAGTTTATCTAATACTCCGCCTGCAATGATTCTCAGGTAAAATACATCGGCGAAAGTATCCGAACAGGGTCAGTCAGACTAGAGGAGCACAGTGACCTTACTGACACCAATAAGGTAAGACATTTGAGAATAATTCAACTATATTACTCACTACATGAAATTGCACACAACCATACAATAGGGTAGAATAAGATGATAGTCTAAGGATCTGATATAACACGGTGGTGGGGAGATTGGTAACAGAAGCTTTGTTTATTGAATCAACTGAAAATACGTACAATAAGAAAGATTCAACGCCTGTCCACCCAGACTTCTAGAAAACTCTACAACCCCTAGGATGACCAATAGGAAGAAATAAGAAAAACTACAAAATGGAAGTTTTGGTGTTGTATATCAATAATTGATGATATGACTGTGAACAGTAATACACTGTGTTCGAAACCTTGTCGTCCAGTAAATAGTACTGTTCTACTGACTGTTTGATTTATCTAATAAATACAGAAATATGGAATTACATACTGCTACAGTGTTTCAGTTTTACTGTCTGGATTCAACATAGAACTTGGCACCGAAGTGCAGCAGTTCGAGTTGCCAGTTTTACACATACAGTAAAATGGAATAAACTATATACGATATGAAAACCCAATGCTCTGATATTCCACATAATTACATATTCACTCATCTAGTCATATACTGTTCGACAGAAGGCTGTAGAAAAATGACTGAAAGTAATACTAGAGCTTATACCAATATTTATTCGCAGACTTTATGCTGCAGTATCCCTGTACTCCTGGTTTATTTCTAGTGAAGAAATAAATAGTCTTCGAACTGATCAATCCGTTTTCTGATATTCTCAAATCAGTTATTGTGGACATAGTATTCTGTGTTGCAATGATTAATCTTCCGGTAGCATCAAAAGTTTCAGGATTTGTGGGGTTGTCTCTCCTTGAAGTTGGCAAATTTTATAGTTTCTGAACTGGATAACTGACCGCACCCTTCAGTTGAAATTAAACCTTAGCCTGTTAATTTTATATCAGAATTAAAAATTTTTTTTACTTTGTTTTACTTCATCAACTGTCTTAACAAATCGACCAATACTTACTTCCCCACTGGTTTCTTTTTATAAATATCACGAATTGTCTTAAAAATTAATCATTTTGAATTGCAATTACTTTAGATAAACGCCAGATAAACACACCATTCGACAGTGGTGAATTTAGAATCAACCTGGTGCATAGATTCAGATTAAAGATAAGCAATCCACCGTAAATAGTTAATTTTCAATTTTTGACAAAATGAACAGCAGGTAATTCAGCGTTTCACTTAACTTAAATGTTCAATTTTTACGTGACATTTTCAGTTAAACTTACAAAGGAGTTAAGGGGATTAGACGTTAAAAAATATGAATGTAAAACCAATGCGATATTAATCATTCCGTTAACAGTGTATTAAGAATATTTTGTATTTCAAAAGTTCGCAAAATCTGTAGTTGTTTTAAGAGGCAGTTACAGTATGTGTCAATGTTCAATTGTTTATTTTTTGGGCTTACACAAACATTTAAACAAATGGAAAGAATAAGAATTAAACCATCAAGAATGAAGACATTTTCACTTTTGGCTATTTATAGACAAATAGAAACGTTTTTAGGTATTATCGAGAGTATTTCAGTATAAATGCAACGCTAAAAATACAGGGGAGTCCCTCATTATCAGTACCTCGACTAGCAATGCTGGTGTGCACTGTTCAAAGCTGCACACGTAAAATGAGATATTGGTTCAGTACGTCAGTGATTTTTTTTTGATTTTTGATTACAGCTTGATTCCACACTGTATTTTTGGTACAGGTATGGAATTTTCAGCATGGATATCGGTAGCCCAAATTTTGCAGGCCGACCATAGATATCAGGTGTGCTTCGTCGGCAGGGGATTGGACCTCAGACCATTTGCGTGATCGGCGAGTGTCCTAACCACTGTACCACCGACGCACACACAATGACAGATTCTCAGGCTTTACAAACCTGAACGTTGCCTAGCCATTAAGACAGCCAAAAATGAAGAAAAACCGGTGGTTAAACCAGCAAGCTCTACTAAGTTAGGTAAGAGTTCAGTTAATCCAGTTTGATATAGACTAACGGTCGTAGCTCATTGAGCGGACTAAACTATTCAACAACAACAACATGATGTGTACCTGCTGTCTTCATTCGAAAGATACTAATTAACAACATGCCTCATAAATTCATGAAGCCATAATTCCTAAATAAATATTCCCCGTTTTCTACTAACAACTGCAAAAGCTCCACACAGAAAAAGGAAAATTATACCAAATGAAAGACAATCCTGTTGTTATGAGACTGATCATTTTAACTGAATCAGAAATACAGAGATTAACTTTGATCTATAATCGAATGTTCTTAGCATGCAAAACCTTATCAAATATGTGGACACTATATAAGGAAATCCCAACCAGTAATAGGGAAATAAATAATAATCCTCCTTCAATTGGTACTGGCACGCTTAGTAAATCATTCGCATGAATATCAACAGTTGTTATGATTTTAATGCTTTTCTGGTTTCAATACAAATGGTATCCT